CAGCAGCAGTGTTTTTAATGAAAGTGTTTCCTGCTGTAATGCAGAACACGTTTCTATAGAGAACACAAAGAATGAAAGAGAGGGATGTGGAGTCTGTTCTGTTCAGCTCAGTCAGGCGGTAATAATCACATGAACAATGCATGCATGTCTCATTTTCAGCCAAAACATCAATCAAATTTGAGAATCACATTAATTAAAAGTATTTTATATTTGTCTTTTCTCTTGGTCTTTTCTAACAGAGGGGCTGTTGACGATTGCTGGAGATCCACATGACAAGCAAATGCCATAATATAAACAGTATAGTAAACTGTATACAGATGTAAAGTGTGTGTGTGGGGGGGGGTGATGTGATGCGATGAAGGTGATAAAATATTTGTCTCTGTTTGTGTGTGTACATGACCATGAGTAAGACCTCCATCACACCACCACAGTTACAGCTCATGCTTTTTCAGGTTTGAGGAGGAAATGATAAACACATCCAGATGATCATCAGTGATGGGATCAGGCAACGGCACCATGGCAGGAGATTTCTACAGGAATCCACGTACACATCAGTGTGTAACAGGAATCAACACAATGCAACATATTTCACTGTATGTTATCTGTTCTGACATCTAAGCTGCTGAACCACTATAGGCAGCATGTTGCACCATGGGTAATCATGCTGCACTTGGCCATGAGAATAATTTTGGCGTGTCCTGCTGCACAGCTGTTCAGAGCAGACGCACATCCTCTCTGACGTATGGAGCACATATGTGGCTCTGCGCTCAGACTCTTGGGGTGAATTCAGGGAGACAGAACATGAGAATAGAGAGAGGGACAGAAAACAGAAATGAAGAGCAAATGGAGGGAGAGAAAAAAGGGGGATAAGCCACAGCGCATCCAGCCGCCCAGGTGCAGGAGTGAGTGGCAACGATGACGTTAGTGAAGTGGCCATTTTGCAGGGCTTTCAAAGACAAGACCAACATGTGGTTTCCATTGGGAAAAGATAGAGTGAAAAAAAAGTGAAGGGTTGAAAGAGGGCTTTAGAGAGAGAGTGATCAGTCAAGGGGAAAAGAGAAATGGGGAGAAGGAGGATAAAAGGGACAGAGAGGAGAGAAAAGTGAGGGTCAGAGGAAGAGAAATACAGAGACGAGAGGTTGATTTACGCAGCTCAAAGATGTTGTCCTTCGTACTTTTCTGTGGTGTCACAGTCGCAGGTTTACATCTCCTCAAACCTCTGTATGTATACGCCCCAGGCCTGTGCAGCACTCTATAAACCCACCGTGTGATAAATGTGTAAAAGCACCCTGCCTTACTTAGTGGCCTGGCATGATTCATAAATGCAGTCAGGTTTGACTGCAGATGGTTTAACACGTATGCAAAGATCTGCCGACAAGCTGATACGCATTAAAGTGGAATTAGGGAGAGAAAAAAAGAAAAGGAGGCAGCGTGAGAACAAGCTTGGTGGAGGAGTGTTTTATAGCAAGGTCCCACCTCTCCCCAGTTGCCAGTCTTCCACTTGGGGCATCGTCTTCCTCTGCAGCGCCTCTGCTTGCCGGGTTTGGGGGACAGGTGCAGGCAGTTCTCCTCGGGGACCGGGCGGCCTGACCCGGTCACACAGCTCACCTTACGGGACTTGAAGCCCCGTCCGCAGGAGGCTGAGCACTGTAAGATGTCAGAGGAGAGGAGGAGGTGAACAGAAAGGTATGCTTCGTGTAAAAAAAAAACCTGTACACTAATTCAATTCTTTATTCTTCATATGTTTGCAGTTTAATAAATCTGAATCTACATCTGCTGTTATTAAAAACAAGTTTGGTGTTTATTGATCAGATAAATGTTGATTATTGTGTGCACTTCTTTTGACTCCACAAAAAAAAGCAAAGTTGAAAAAAGTGATCTGCAATCTAGCTCCACGTGGACAGCAAGTCCAATGGCAGAGCGTGCCCGATTACCCCGGCAGTAGTTTGTTTCATCTCCGGGTTCACTGAGTTACTAAAGGTCTAACTCAATGTGACAGGCAGACACACACACACACACACACACACACACACACATAGCAGCGGCATTACAGGAGGGAGTGGAGAGGGGCTGGACCGTGCTTGGATAATCAAAGGGGGGCGTTGCATGCGGGGATAGATGGGAAGCGACAGGCTCAGAGTTGAACGGGTACGTGGCCCAGCGTGCGGTGCTGTCCTGACCAGCGAGGGACTGTACCGGACAGGAACACGCCGTGACCTCTCACCCCATTCACGGAGGAAGACAGTTAGTGAGGCCCATGAAAGGAATAAAATGCTTACTGCTTCTTTTTTTTTAAAATCTAGGCTCCCTTCACAGTTTACTTTGTAGTACACTAGATTTATTAAGATTACTTGTGTCGTAAGTGGATTTATTCAACTAATAAACACAAAAAAAAGAAATTAATTTCATTAATATTGTGTGATTCTTGTGTGGATTCTGTTTGAATAAAATTGACAATGACACGGATGACGCAGGATATAAATAATAACATATGTGAGTGGCAGACGAACTTCATGGTTCTATTAAGCAAATATCAAATATTACCCGAACTGTAAAAACAGAGATCACATTGTGATATGTTTTTGCCAGAAATGATGACAATACACATTTGTTTTGAATGAACTGTGGAGAGTAACTAACAAAGCTGGACTCCAGTAAAGTTTCAAAGAGAGTATTTTACAGGTTCCCAGGCTATTATTCTGCTTAAATGTCACGTCTTTCTCAAACAGTTCAATATACCTTTTTACAAGGGATTTCCTGCTGCTGTGATGCCCTCACAATACCTTGGGAATCAGTGCCCCCACCCATGCGGGGCTCATTAACTTCGCCCACAAGTTCTCTGGGGTTCTGTAATTATCCAGTGCAGCGCACTAATACAAATGTCGCTGCTGCTGGCACACACTTGACCTCAACATTTCTGACATCACCGCGTACAGAGAAGTGAGCGCAATTTCGTTGACATCAAATAACGCGCCATGCAGCATTGACAGTGTCAATCGCTGATCTAACCCTAACCCTGAGCTGACTTCCAAAAGAAGTTCACAGGATTATTGCAAACACAAAACGCACAATTAATATATAGATTTATTTATTTTAAGATTTATTTCACTAAATCTGCCTATTTCCATCCTCAGCAGTGTGAGGAAATCCTTCTTTTGTTTTGTTGTTTTATTCCTGGATCACATGCAGGCAATTTCCCATAAGTCTGTCTGTGCTGACGGGATGAACCGGGAAGGGGCCCCTCCCTAGATCAAACGGGACCCTTGACCTGCCAATACACCACTGCATTGTCTTGCTGAAGCCCCCTCCTCCCTCTTTAAAGCCACTGTCACTGGCCCCTACATTGGTCAACTGTCATCAACCCGTACTAGAATGGTTTGGATGGGGCCCGACGAAAGGGGGCAAAGGGTGCTGGCGACTTCATAGCCAAGCACGCGTCACCAGGCGTCCCAGAAAAAAGCCGCCGGGGCAGGCATTAAGAGTGAGTGAACACAGTAAATGAGATGAGAGCTATACATCGAGGCATTGTCACTAAAGATTTACCTTCAGGGAAGGAGCTTTGAACTTCTGACACAGACGGTAAAAAGCAGGGTCGCTCAAAGAGGTCAGCAGAGGCCCTGACCGCATAAAATAACACAGATATTGCTCAGTGATTTGTGCATTTTCATTCAGGAAAAACACCCCATTGAAAAGAGTGGCGGGGAGGAATGCTTCATAAGCTGTTTGCCAGGCATCTTGTTTTAAATCCTTCAGCCAAAGTCGAAGGTAAAACTAAATGGTATAGGACATTCCCTCTTCCACAAACACAGTAAATAATCCTCAGTTAAATATTTCAATAAAGGATGAGTGTTTTTAAAAGTTGGTACTTGCATAAGTTGTCTCCCTTTCTGATGTTTTTGGTCAACCAGATGTCAGTTGTGTTTTTTCCCCTTGTTCTTAGTTTGCTGTGACATTGTCCTGGTCACTGCATGTGATAAAAATGTTTTGATTAAATAAGAATGAAGAAAAGCCTTGGATGGTACCTCTACTTCACTTTAATCGTAACCTTTTCTGGAAATGAACAGAAATCCAACAAATCCATAAAAAATTAAATACTGACATAACATTATAATGAAGTAACAATAAATACAAGTAATTACATAAATATACAGAAATCTTCTTGAAACACAGACTAATACTGCCATTTGTGAATAAGAGACATACAATATACTTATTTCAAGAGCCTGTTGGTGTGGAGTTTGTGTTATACTGCTGTTCGACCACAAGGAGTAAAACTGCTACAACTGAAAAATGAAACTAAATATAGGGTGAGCTGTATTAATTCTGTGATTCAGCCTCGATCGGACTTAACGCTGCTGCACAGTCACAAAGTCACGTGGGAGTCATTACAAGTGCTAGCTCTCATTTTAAAGGTTCAGTGTGTAGAATTTAGTGACATCTAGTGGTGAAGTTGCGTGTTGCAGCTGAATACCCCTTACCTTCCGAACATGCAAGACAACCTGTGGTAGCCTTCAGTTGTCATAAAAACTCAAAAGATGTTTAGTTTGTCCTGGCTGGACTTCTGTCAAAAACACGACAGCCTCCGTAGAGAGGACCCCCTCTCAAGTCCTACAATTTAGATTTAACACATCACTAGGATTATTTTATATTCAATTTCTGCCAATAGATCATTTTCACCTAAATCTTACACACTGAACCTTTAAATGATGTGTGGTAAAAATGATAACAGGCCCTTAAAATAAGGTGTGATGTCAGTACAGACATTTATGACCAGGAAGAGTCAACTGGGTGGGCTCTGGGCTGCAGCCAAAAGTTGCCCCTAACCACAGATTCTGGATCAGTTTCCACTGTTTTCAAACAAATGATGTCAGCAACAAGGTGGGAGATGACACACACACACCCTGGATCTGTGTTTAGGGCCATCGACTGCACTGGATAGCCTCAACAACTCATGCTTAATCTTAGCCAGCCAAAATCCCTCCAGGATACGGCAGGGGGGCAATCATAGCAGAGACTGAGGTAGACACATTAGGTTGGCTCAGAATAAGAGCTCTGGATACAAAACACTATTAACTTCCCCTGTGGTCACAGGTGTCATGTGTTCAAAATATGACATTTTAACAGCCCATTCTCTTAAAGGTTAAGCACGGTGTTTCATGGACATTCAAAGACAATTAAACATTATTTTAACAAATCTGTGATAAGACTTTAGCATTTAGCCAATCACTCTGATCAATCCACTAACTGCTCATGGAAAGAAATAAAACAAATACAGAAAAAGGCAGCATCAAAAAGCAATGTGCCACAATAAACACCTAACTGACCAAAAGTGTGATGGTTCATAGTTGATATTGATAACTCCCTTGTTTTTGGCCAAAGCACCACTGTAGTGAAGGGTATCATAGTTTAATGGCTAGTTGAGTTGTGTTTAGTTCCAAGTGAGGTATTGTTGAGCATAGCATATTTAGCAACTCCAAGTACTTACTGTACAAAGCAAATATTAACTAACACAATATAAATACACTCATATCAAGCACCTTTGGAGCAGAGAGCTTTAAACCTATTGTTTTGGCCACACTAAAAAAATCTGGGTCAAACCCTCTGCCAAACTGGAATACAATGGCTATTAGTTCTAATTACCACAAACTCTGCTAGACACTTTATTTTACAGTGCTGGTACAGCTGCTGTTTGTCAGTGTTTACTACTGATACTGGACGTTTCAGGGACTTCTGAGTCAAACATTTTCCTTCTTCCATATTAATGTCGTTGTGAGGGCAACACCGCTGTTGATTTCGTAAATGGGGTAAATGCATCAACTGTAAAATAAAGTGTCTAAATATAGGATTAGTAACTTCTCTATAAAACCACATGTGCCTTGAGACAAATTGAATTCTTAATACAATAGCCATTTCTAAGATGTATATAGTACAAAGATGTATAGATAGTACACAGCCCATATACAGTCCTATATTATCTGGCGCTTTCAATGTTCACAACACAACGCCAAACTATACTGTGTAGCACCGCATATTTGGAGATTATGGGCCATTCTTTGGATAATAAAAGAACAAGGCATCATACTGTATATTCCTGATATACAAAAACATTCATCAGTATTTGCATATGAACAACGATTGGCTAAATGTGCGAATACAAAGAGCTAAGACACAAAATAAATCACTTTTAAAGTTAATGCTATATACAAAAGATAAAAAGAGAAAAAAATATCTTAATAAATTATCTTAAAAACAATATTTTACAAAACTAACTTTGATTGTGATACGAAGTGATCCTGAATTTTTCAAATACGTACGAGTACACGGCTCATCAACAGTCTTATGGTAACTAGGACTGACAAAGAAAAAAATGTACTTATGGTCACAGTCGACACTGGAGCATTTTGTGATGATGACTTTTTTTTGGCATATTGCAAGTGAGTGTGTCTTTTCCATTTAAGTGCAACAGAAACAACCTTTTATGAATGTCTTGAGGAAACATTGACCGATCATAGGAGCCAGAGAGGGAGCGGGAAGCGGAGGGGGATTAAAAGTTAAAGTAGAGTGTGGTTTCTCCAGCACAAACGCACTATAGTTATCCTGCCCTTTTAAGACTGTTTGTGAAAGAGTAACACTACAGGTATTTGAAATAAAACGTGAGTTTGAAAAACAAGGTAGAATATTTTTTATGAGCGTACCGAGCTCCATGGGTCTGTGCTCCAGTGGGGGCTAGACGGGCATGGCTGAGTATTGCACTGCTCGCGATCTGGTGGCTTGTCGTGGATCTCGCAGCTCAGGTCGTTGAAACGCTCGCCGTTTGGACGCTGACACACCACCAACCTCGTCTTGATCCCACCTCCACATGGCTTTGTGCACTTAAGACAGAAGGAGAGGGGAAAGGTTGTTTTACAGATGGTTATGGGAAGTTTTTTGGGTGTAAAAGACCATTTTCCACATGAAAAGAGAGAATTGAGAACCTCTAATAGATTTTCAATCCTCCAAGCTGAACCTCTGTGTCAAAGTAATTATTTATACACTAATGAGCATCTCAGAGTTTATACTTTACTCTCTAAGCTCCACGTGTATCTGTCTCTGGGCCATGGTAAACTGTGCTCTCATCTCACAGTAAAGGGGTGTCTGTCTTACCTCTCCCCAGTTGCCATAGATCCACTGTGGACATGGCCCTGACTCACAGGATCGTTGCTCACTGGGCCGACTGCGATCCTCACAGCTGTTGGCAGGGTAGCCGTTCTCATCCTGGCACACAACCACACGCCGCTGGAAACCTCCTGCACATGTGCTGGAGCACTGGTGTTAAAAAGAGAAGAATGTGCACGGTCAAACAGGTGGTTCTCACAAACAGATGCTGAGTGAATAGGAGGTGTTAATGAGTCCTCAGAGGAACATAACTGTGTATTATACACATTTAATTTAAACAAACAGCAAGGCTAAAGTCATGGCTGTCTTTGTCAACATAGATTAGAAATTTGGTAGGTAAATGTACAGGAACAAATGACCAGCACACAGTTTATACTATTAATATACACCACACACAAAATCAGAACTGTTATATTATTCTTATGTCAAATGAGCGACACGGTTTGCTGATTTATAAAATACATTTCCTCAGGACAGAAGAAGGAAGACTGACCAGAAATAGCTGTGATTACTTCCCAAACCTATTTTAAGGTCAAAGATATTTTTGGACATTTGACATTATCACTGACCCACTTTTTTAAAAGCAGCTGAACAATACAGAGAACAGGATTGAAGGAAGGGGTGGGGGGGTGGGGGGGGTTGAGGATGTTGGGTCACACAATCGAGCTAAATCACAACGGACAAGGTCCTAAAAAGGCAACTGACATTAAAGAGCATCTTCAGTTTACATATCACATTGCAAGGAAAAAATAACTGGTTCACAAACTGAAGTTTCTTGAGGATGAATTTAGTTGGACACAAAAAAGGAAAAGCTCCACATTTTGGCACCTACGCCATTTCCTTTCTGTGAGCATAATGAAGCACTACTCCTTTGTGCACCAGTCTAATGTCTGTTCAGTAAATATAAAGCTGAAGCCACAAGCTGGTTAACTTAGCTTAAAGACAGGAGAAGGGGTAAAGAACTAGTCAGGCTCTGTCCAATGGTTCAATGTTCATGGATACTTTGAAGCTCAATGCAACTAATTTTGTGACTTCAGAGCATTTTCCTGGTGGCCTTTTATTATTGCAGTGAGTAGTTTCTAATTATTAGGATCATAACAAAAAACCAATCATTTCAGTGCTGCTGCTAAAAACTTATCTGGGCTTCTAATGTTTGTGTCAAAAGTTTGGCTGCACAAGATTTAGCACAAAGGTTCAAACATCAGGCCCCAGAGAAAAACGGTTGCTGACCACTATAATGTGATGCTGCTGTCTGCACAGTAAGATAACTGCTGTCTGCACAGTAAGATAACTCACCGCGCCCCAGGGTCCGGTCCGCCATTGGTGGGATTGGCTACGGGGCAGGTTGTTCCTGGTGCTGGCGTTTGGGGAGGACGGCAAAGGTCGAGACTCACTTGAGCGGGACGGGCATTGAGACATAGCGCAGTCCTGCTCTGTGGTAGGACGATCGTCTGGGTCACACTCACTAGCATTCACCTCCTGGTCACTGATGACACACAGTACCTGCCGTGTCGTCTTCCCCTGGCCACAGGTTACCGAGCACTGAAAACACACACACACATTAAAGTGTAAAAAGTATTTAAAAACATGTGTGCAATAAACATGAAGCTTAACGTAAAGTTTAGCCAAAGTAGCTTCTTATTTTTTCAAACAAAAAGTAGATGATAATAACCACGATGACGTGGTCACTGCACTGTACCAATGTAATCCATTGAAAAAAGTTGATGTGGATCATTGGATGAGCTTGGTGAGCCCAACAACCTGCATACAAGAGCTGCTGAACCAGTCACGTCCTCTGTGTCTAAACAGACCTTTTTTCCTGCTGCATAAACCAGTCAAGATTTGCATGATAGTGTGGAGTATTATATTTTTAGACACTGAGGTTGGATAGATACACAAGTTAAATTAGCTCCAATGCTAACAATCATTAGCAAATCATTATAGAAAACATTTAGCTGCAGCTTCTCATTTTTGTTTCTAGGTTGAAAAACCACCACACAGTTTGCTGAAAGCCAAAACAGAGAAAACCAGCAGAACAATGATAATTATATTTAGATGTAATTTGATGCCACTTGCTTACTGCCCAGACATTCAACAGACAAAAACAATGAGGAGGCACATTCTAACAAAGGTCTGAGACCAACCGAAAGCAATTATGACTTATTGTTGAGGATGTGGAAACAGATCTCATTCCATTTAAAGAGGACATGCAGGACACTGCCATGGCCTTGGTACTGGCTGACAAAGCAGTTTCTTCTTACAGGACCCAGGAATAAAACTTTCCTTTCCCTAAAGTAACACAGGATAGATCTTACACCAATCTTAATGGTGTCTCCCTCGGCTCCTCCCTAGCACAGTCCACTCTCTAGCTTGCATAAGGTGATCTATTATACTTATGCAACAGCTGTCTGCTCTAAAACCTCGCCTGGGATTACTCTGTCCAGTGGTTTACAGTGTGCTGTCAAAATGTTATGGATTTCACATGATCATAGATACAATAAGATGGTCTTACATACATAAAGCTGGTGTACATGATGTGGCACCAAGTAAAGCAGTTGGATAACGTACTGTCGTCTGTACCGTCACTGACAACAATAACAAAAGTCTGTCATATTGGAGTGTTCTGTCACTGCTAGATAAAGCTATGTTGCTCTTGGTTAGTAAGTCGAGTGTGTATATGTGTATATGTGTGTGTTTGTGGCTGGGATAGGCCTCTGAAATCTTTTTTAGCCTTGGGATGAACCATTTCCTTTTGGGGGTCAATGAGTATCTTTGGCTTGGTATACGTGTGGGTGTGTATGTGCATGTGCAATTGTGTGTGTGTGTGTACATGGTGACCAGACCTGCAGTCTAGCTGTACTGTATCACTAGGACTGTGATGAGAAACATCTGTAAACAAGACTGGAGCCCCTCTCTTCAGCCCCTTGCATCTCCCAGCTCCAGAGTGCCTCACTCCAACTTTCTATCTCTCACACACACACACACACACAAACACACAAGCACACACACTGTGGTCTTTCTAAAGTTGTGAGGACACTCACATTTTGTTGCTCCTTAACACCCTAACACTAACACCAATTCTTAAACTTCAAGCAGTCAAATAAAGTTGTGTGGACCAATCTAAACATCCTCACAATGCTGAAATGTCCCCACAAGAGTTATTTGGAACAAAACGTTGTCGTCACATCCATAGAAAAAGACATACTGCTTCTCTAGCCTCAGTCTAACCCACCTCCCAACCTCGACACACATTTGCCTTCCAGCTGCAGCTTCCCTTCCCGCCCTCTACATAGCGTGTGCACACACTATTGTCAGTGTAGGTGAAAAATTATGTAGCGTATACTGAAATACAACTTGCAGGAGTAAAAACATCTGGATGGCAGTATTGATGAAACAATTTAGGTTAATCAACAGGGCTATCCATCAGTATAATAAGATGCAGATCTGAGGGGAAGAGCTTGGAAAACAGGAAAACTTCTCTCCAAATGTTCACTTATTTGAAACTGTTTTCTACCACATTGGGTAAGCTCATACAGATTGTCATGTTGGCATAATTTACGTTAACTGGGTCAGATATAAGTGAATAAGTGGTTATAACAGGTGGTTTTCTTACCACTGTCCATTCCAGCACTTTCCACTGTCCGCAAGCCACTGCTGAGCAAACTTCTCTGGCAGGGGGCTTTGGTAGGTGGGCGCAAGCCGACTCCTCTGCCACACCGCCCTGGTTGTCACGGCAGCTCACATAGCGCATCCGTGTACCTTTACCGCAGCTGGCAGTACACTGGTGTGCAGATAAGAAACATTAAGAGGCTGGAAACCAACAAACTGTGCAAACTGATTGTGAATATGACAGGACAACCAACCTGAGTCCAGGAACCAAACCGCCACTGGGTTTTGTGGGTCTGATGGGAGGGGACTTTGGTCCCTGGGGGAACAGGGTGGCTGCTGGGACACTGAGCCAGTTCACAGTCCTGTTGAAGGAAGGACACATACACCCGTTTATGCAACGATTAACAAAGTGAATATACTGTAACAACATCTGTCCCTGGCCACAAAATACCATGAATATCAGAGATAGCTCCTCTGACATGGGACAGTCATTAACAACTTAAACTATATTCCTTCAGCTCTACATTAGAGAGCAGTTGTGTTTCCCATCAACCTTTTCCCCCCACCTTACCAAAACAACATTAACAGGGTCCGCCCCGTCAGTTCAAACTATGGATTGTGGCAGTAAGCCACTCAGCATAAAGCCCTGATCCCTGTCATAACAGGTCACAGTGGAGTGGTATTCAGGGCTCCAATGCCCATGCTGGCGTGGTTGCAAACTCCACCCCTAATCCACCCCCTTGTCCCTCACCTTCCGCCCTTTCCTCTTTTTCTCCTCATGCCCTCTGGTGCCCTCTGACCCCCAGTCTCTAGGAATGAGTGCCTTAATCAGGTCACACAGGATCTGAGCAGGCTCCACATTCCTCACTCGGCCACCTAATAGCAACAAATAGGCCTTGTGGTGGTGTGCAAAGTAGCTCCACACACTTCATGTTAGTCACATCTTAAATGTCAATTCTAAATGAACTAATAACATATGACAGATTCTCTGATGATTCTGTGACTTTGTGTGTAATGGTGGGTACTGCGGCTTTAATGTTGTAGATGTACAAATACTACAGGCTCCAGCAGTGTTCAGAAATGCCCAGCCTTCCTTCAAACTAGTGAGGAAAGCACTGAGCAAAGCATCTGTTGCCTCCACCTCTCTACTCCTTGTGCTCTGAAAGACTTCCATCTGCCTATCTCTCCATGGTTTTCTGAGCCTTGCCTGGTGGCTGTCTGCAGTGGGACAGGCGGCCTGTTGGCCCACTTCATGGCTGGCTGGTTAGAATCACAACAAGGTGGGGCGACTGCTTCAGGGTCACTGGTTCTGTCGGCCCAGGCACCGGAATTAAGAGCCGCTTCAACTAGAGGGGGGCCTCATCCTGGGTCTGCATGCTCAGCCCTCTAAAATGGGTTTACGCCCAACACTGATCAAAAAAAATCATTCAGCTCAAAATAGTGTCCTTTGGTTTTTCTGTGTCTATGTGTTTGTGAGAACAGATGCACAGATTACACACATGAACATCACATTTCTCAGTCTGCATGGAGGAGGAGGAGACGGTGTCAAATGTTTAAAACTGCAGCATGACTATTCAACTAAGCCGCTCTGTACATTGGTAATTTTCTAAAGGATGCTTTGAAATTAGGGTATGGACAAGATTCAAACTAAAACTAAATACTTTTAAGACAAACATGACTTCTGACAAACTTTAAGTGTGTCCTACATAAAAGGTATTAAGAGGAATAACTCTATAAGGTCGTCTTGCTGCGTTTGAGCTGAGAGGTCTTCAGTTGTATGTTCCTTTGTGAGGATGGTGAGGCCTGTACAACCTTCCCCTCTTTTTCTCTCTCCACCAGACATCAGACAGCATAGCTTTATTGAGTCCAGGTGGACGTGAAGTGTGTGTGCTTGTCTGTGTCTGTTTTAAGCGTCAGTGTGTGTTAATATGGATGCTATCTTCTCTCCTCACAGTATAATTCACTTTGTCACTCGACCTTGAAATAATTGTTGCTGCCATGTTGAGATTAAGAGACCGTGGGAAGCTAAGAGAAGTAAAACAAAGATGTTAGAGAGAGGGAGAAAGGATGCAAATAAGGAAGAGAATGCCCTCCTTACCTGGGTGTCTGTGGGTCGGGTGGCAGCGTTACATTCAGTATCGTCCATGACAGCACCATAAGAGCCGACCACACACTTCACAGCTCTCATTTGGTAGCCTGGCCCACACGAGGTAGTGCACTGGGTTCAAAGAGGGAAAAAAGGAGTGGAGGGGAAACAGTGAGCATAAGACAAAAAGAAAATGTAAGAAAAGAAGAAAACAACAAAGCAACCGCCAAACACAAACAAATCAAAAATTGCACACCAGGGTAGGCGAGTAAAGAAAGGGTAATTTTACTCCTCCACTTCCATGACAAACATTCTTAAGTTTCAGGCAGATACAAAAAAAGAAAAATTAAAAGTCAACTTCACGAGGAACCGTAGCTCATATACATCACATTGTCCTTTTTCCGTTGTAGCCGAGTCAGAGGGTACTACCCCGCGTTCTCTTCTGCCTCATTGCCTCCAGTGAAACAAGGTCAAACTTGTGTGGCGGCGACTTCAACTACCATTTGAACACGCTTCATTAAACAACTTCAAATATACCTTAACATGTGCACATCCTCTGATGGGGGGGGGGCACAGATATGTCTCACATTTTTGGGTGTTCGGTTCTCTGTGCGCAAACACAACTGAGGCTTAGCATGCACACACACACACACACACACAGACACAGACACATGCATGTATGCATTAACCTATACAAAGCTTTGTACAAGAGCACGCCTACCCTTAAAATCCATAGCTTTTGAATATTACATTTTCACGTGTGTGCTCAAACAAAAAGGAGGAGCTTGGCTTAATGTCATCTATCCACCA